CATATTAGCTGCAGGTTGGTTGATCTTCTGTATCCCACCTGGTGCAATGAGCAAAAGTCTCATTTGAATTGTTGTTCTTGTTTTCTGTCTCATATAATTTCATTTTTTAATCTAATGGTTGTTAGAAGTTTCAATTACCAACTGGTTTGTGAATGATTTTAATAGATAGAATGAAAGATTACTTTTTACCTTAGGCTTTAGCAGCAGCTGTTTAGAATTGTTGCCATTTATACTGTAACTTTTTTGAACAGGGGCAAAGATAGTCAAGGTGAAGAGGTTATTAAACCATACACCCCAACCACCTTAGATTCTGATGTTGGTCATTTTGAATTAGTTATTAAGGTATGTCACCTAAAAAAAATTGTCTTGGTTGTCTTTACTTAGTTTATTTAAGTATAAGTTTTTCTTTTCCCTCTTTTTTTTTTTTGAATTTTTATCCCTTCTGAATTTGCATTATTTTTGGATTTTACTTCTATATAGATGTACCCACAAGGTAGGATGTCTCACCATTTCCGTGAGATGCGTGTTGGTGATTATCTTGCTGTGAAGGGACCCAAGGTACAAATTCCTTTTGCTATTAATTTACTGAATTTCCTTTCACTGCATGCTTGTCACAGTATTCCTGTTATGACCCTTTATTTTAAGGCTGTTACACTAGAGATGAAAAAGGATGTTAAAATTAATTTTGTTGGATTCATCAATTAAATGTTTCTATCAATGCATCAATACTGAGTATGATGCACAAGTTCATGTCAGCCTTATCCAGCATTAATTTAATGCCATCCCAGGCAAACATCTAGTGGATTTTATAAACAAATTTCCTATGTTGCAAGTATATCAGAAAGAATCATTGAGCAAGTATAAAATTTCTTTCTCCTTATTAAATATATGCATTTTTCTTCTTGTTATTTGACACAATTTAAGAGTCTTACCGAATTATGATGAAATATTTAACAATCAAGTCATCATAACGAGTAAATCAGAATGCCTTTTATTTTCTCAGTGAATTGCATGGTTAAACTGTGAAATTATCAGTTGATTTCAGGTTTTCCTGGATTTGCTATTACCAAGGAACATTTATTTTTTTATATATCACTACTAAGAAGCATTAAATATTAAAATTTCAAGTTCATATTCCATCTTTTACATATGAAGTTGTCCTATGACAAAAATTTTTATTACTATAGAAAATCTGTTTCCACATAAGACATTCATGAATCACATTTGTGGTATAAGTTTGCAACTTGTGGTCATAATCAAAAGTCTGCTTCCTAGCTAACCTTCATAATGCTGGTTTAGTAATTCCGTGTATGAACTATGCTTGTATAATTCACATCGCTTCTATGAAAAATCTCTTATTTTGATTTCTGATCTTGAAATATTGCTGCTACCAGGGTCGATTCAGGTACCAACCCGGCCAAGTTAGAGCATTTGGGATGATAGCAGGAGGCTCTGGCATTACTCCAATGTTCCAAGTAGGTTGCTGAAATTAAACTTTTATCATTGTGTAGAGATCTTGGTCTGCCATAAATGTGAAAGTATTATATTTCAGAAGGTGTTGATGTTGATAGATACTTGATTTTTTTCATATGTTTTTCATTTAGGTTGCTAGGGCCATACTAGAGAACCCCAAAGACAAGACAAAGGTTCACCTCATTTATGCGAACGTTACATATGAGGACATTCTTTTGAAGGTAATTTATGCTCTTGTTTGTCAATTATTCAGCATTGTAGTCCTTGTTTTATTGAAAATTTCAAGATAATGTAGTTGAGCCATGCTTGGTCCTTCATATATCCCTTATGGAAATGGTTTTACATGCCTGTTAGTGGCTTGCTATGCATTGAGCAGTATGGAATCCTTGGTGGGTCCATTAAGTGGTCGACCAACATTTGCAAGATTAGTTGCCTTGTCTACATTAAGATAGATGACATTTTAGCCCATATAATTACTGAAAATTGGAACATACTGACTTCTGTAAAGACAGACATTATTAGAGGTGGATGGATGTGAACCACTTTGGAAAAACTTGGTAAATCTTAAGGAATCTTAGAATGCTCAAGATTTATAGGCAATTGGTTGGTTTTGCATTTTACTTTTCAGTAATCAATGTCAGCATTCTTCTTTTTCCGTAGTTAACTGGTTTTGCAATATAAACATGGCATTCCTTTCATTATTAATAGAGAGATGAACGGTCATCTTTCGTTAATAGGTACACATTTGTTCTTTGTCATGTGTTTTACATAATGTGATCATTATACCATCATGGGTGTAAATTACCAAGGATGAACTGCTTCAAAATGAATGATGTGTGGAAGGTAAAGAATGCAATATGTTAATATATGGATTTTTAGTTTATGAGAACAGATCATGATTGCTTTTTATAATGTGTTTGCAGGAAGAATTGGATGGACTTGCTGCTCAGTACCCTGATCGCTTCAAATGTTATTATGTTTTGAATCAGGTCAGTTATGTTTCTTACTTAACAAAACCGACTGTTAACATGTTTGGTTTAACAGAGTATCATTACACATTTTTATGTGTGTAGTACTATTCCAATGATGCAGAGCATTAAATTTGGCTTTGCAGATCTTAAATTAATCTCTATATTTTTGGATTTTTAAGGTTATAGTTTTCATGTAATGAGATTGCAAGATTAATTGAGGATATCAGATGTGAAAAATTTTGACTAGTAGAGTTGTTACGTGCTGGAATAATTAGACAGAATTTAGAACTATTGGTTGGAAAAAAGGAAAAGAAAATAATATAGATTTACATTAACTTCAAATTGACTGGATAAGGTTCCAAGTCCCACTTTAGTTGATCATTAATTTAACTGGCTTGATCATCCAAATTGCTAATAAGATAACATTTTTGATAATATAAAGCTTCTGAAGACTCAAATTTGATAGATTCAACAGAACTTTCTGAGTTGCAAATTGAAAATAGTTAAACATTTAAACATCTGAACTTCACTAAAATTTGATATTTTGTTTTCTAATCCTTGATGGCCTTATTACTGAAAAACTGCCTTCCCTGTTCAATGTTTAATTCCTCAGCCTCCTGAATCCTGGGATGGTGGTGTTGGCTTTGTTTCAAAGGAAATGATTCAAACCCATTGCCCTGCTCCAGCAGCTGATATTCAGGTAAAACTTTCAAACTATTTTCATGGTGCTTCGTTTTTATGTTTAGTTAACTCATTAGCATTTTCTTCCAGTTGGATTACAATTTTGAAGCTCTCCAAAACCCTTTTTTGTGTTGGATAGTTATCAAAACACTCTTTAAACATATACATTGTTTCTCATACATCTTTGACTGATTAAGAATTTAAGATATCTTTAGGTGAAAAATTTGACTGTAAGTTGTAACTTTTGTTGTTGGATGTGCAGATTCTGAGGTGTGGTCCACCACCCATGAACAAAGCCATGGCTGCTCACCTTGAAGCTCTTGGATATGCACCAGAGATGCAGTTCCAGTTCTAATCCTTTTCACGACTTCTTGAACCCTTCATCTGGATTGATATTAGTCACATGGCACTGGACACGAAAACACCCTTTTTTCTTCTCCCCTATAGCTTCTTTCTACAGTGCCAAAAATAACTGTTAAACATGGAACATGGAGCAATTATTTGTAATTTATCTTTGCTTGACATTTGAAAAGATTTTTGCTAGAGTTCTATTTTTATCTTCTTAAACTGCATGTTTATGTTATTGTGGGTATTAATCAGATTAAGCTGAAATAATGTTAATCAAGGTAAGCTATGTTGCCATTTCAGATGATTACAACATTAAAACTAAATGAAAGATGGTTTGTTTCATAAGTACCTCTTTTGGGGTTTTGGTATTTTTGAGGTGGGTCTTTCTTTTTCGATAATCCTAGAAAGGTAAAAGGAATAAGAATTAGAGTGAGATGTGAGTCGAGCAATTCGCGAGCTACTTGAGCTCGGCTCGTGAAAAGCTCGAACTCGACTCGAAGTCAATTAAGTTGAGCTCGGGTTCGAGTGGCTTGTTTAAGGGGTCGAGCTGAGTTTGATTAGGGCGAAGCTCGGCTCGATAGGCTCGCGAGCCTCATCATGCTCAAAGGGTTAAATTGTAAGTTTTGTAAGTTTTTTTTTTATTTTCAAGTTTTTAAAATGACAAATAAACATTTCTCACAATAAACTCGAAGCTCAAGCTCGTTTGAGCTCGAGTATGCATCCATACTCGTGAGCTTGAGCTCAAGCCCAAGTATTCAAGCTCAAATGAGCATGGCTTGTACTCGAACTCGACATTGATTATCACAAACTGAGCTTGTGTGTTTAGATACTCTGCTTGGCTCTATACACCCCTATTAAGAATAATGACAATGACACGGAGTTCCTTTAAAATTTTCCAATTTGTTGCAGGGCTGAAACAAAGAATTCCTACTTGGGTCTCAAATTTTCCTCTACCCACAGCCACAGGTATACCAGAAGCCCAATTATTGATGGACTTTTACCCAAATATGTTGAGGACATCAAACAACAAAGGAAAACAAAATACTGTATCTTAGACATTACTGCGACAAAAAGTATGCAAGTAAATGGCAACTACAAAATGCTTAACTGGCTGGTGGAGACAACAAAATTTGTCTATTCGGTGTTTCCTTGTTCAAACTTCAATACATAAGTTTACCCAAAGCCCCAAGCAGGTCAAAACCTCCTTCACTCACCCTATAGTCACTTTCTCAAACTACAAAGGAACTGAGTGAGATTTTCCCAAATTTCAGAGCTTGATTTCCACAATTTTCAGTAAACTCATGGAACTAGACAACAATTCAACAAACCATTGATTAATTATAATTCAACCCCATAATAATCAACACATTTACTCAAACAACGAATTTGAAGTTTGAATCGCTTTAAAATCAAACAAAACATCATAAATATTCAAACACACATTCGATGAACGGTAGTAATTTCATGTAAATAGTAGAAGAAAAGGCTAACTTTTGGATGGTGATTGGGTTGCCCAGCCCAAATTTTGTAAAAAGAATATCATATGTTATGAAAATGTCCCTAACTAAGCTTTACTGTTTTTTCTAAGGTTTAGTGGTAATTCTACTTGGTTTGGTTTATTTACAGGCTATAGTAGTTGTGGTTGGACTTTTCAAGTAGTTGGACTTGGATGGTGACTGGGTTGCCAAGCCTAAATTTGGTACAATAAGTATCATATAGTATGAAAATGTCCCTATATAAGCTTTATTTTTCTCTAAGGTTTTGTGCTGATTCTACTTGATCTGCTTAATTTATGGGCATTAGTGTTAGTAGTTTTGGTTGGGCTTTTCAATTGGTTGGATGGTGACAAGGTTGCCCACCCCAAATTTGGTAAAAAGAATATCACGTAAAATCATTTATATATAGTATGAAATTGCCCCTAATTAATTTTCAACTACACTCGTTATTAAACAGACAATTATTATTTAGCATATTTGAGGAATCGGCAAGTTGTATATTTAATAGTTTTAGATATGTTTTAGCCACCATCTAATTTATTAATATCCCCTATTTTAATTTCCTTAATATCTTTTCTATTTTTTTTTTATTTCCTTAATACAATGAGATGTGAGAAATTTACTTAGTTGACCATTTTAAAAAGTCAAATTAAAAAATATTAACTTTTAACTGGGTTTTTAAGCAAGATCTCTTATAAGATTTTTGCACACTTTTACCCATGTCTTTCACACTTAATAATATGAAAATCGTTACTTCCATGAAAATTGAAAAAAAAAAAAAAAATTAGTCGATGGTTTTCGAATATTTTTTTGAATAATATTTTAATAATAATATTTTATGTTTAGTTCATTATTTTGGTAGAATTTTAGGAATAATATTGGATAGTTAAGTAGAGTTATAATACAAGAATATGATTTGCAGAACATGTGTTTAGTAGAGTATTTTGATCTTGATATTTGTATTGATATTTGATTGATATATTATTTTATAATGTGTTTTAATATAAAATAAGTGAACATGTGACGTGAAGAAGCATGAAAGAAGAAAGAAGAAAATTGGAAAGCACGTGAAAGAAGAAAAATCACTCACAAATAACTTTGCCTGTAACTGTCTTCAACACGGTCAGGAAGTGTCGGATAATATTCTCAAGATTCTATTACACAAATATTCAACCAAACGTTATCTCCAAAATTGTGTTGAAAATATGTGTAAAAATATCCAACCAAACGCAACTAATGAAATCTATTTTTTTAATTGTACGACGATCCATTTTTAAAATAATTTTCAAATATAAATAAGAATTAGGTAATATATTCCATTATTCCATATCCAATTTTCAAGTAAGCATTATTAACTCTTTTGGAAAAAATAAAAAATTTCATTCAATAAATCTTTACAAGAACCAACATCAATTAACATTATTATTAGGTTTTTTAAACAAATCTAAATTAATACATATATAAAAAAAAACTATATTCCTAAAGACCATCTTCAAAATCTCTCAATAATTTCTTATTTTTATTACATTTTATTTATCTAAATATTTCTAATTTAGATTCTAAAAGAGGTCAGAGTTTATTCAATTGGGGCATTGTTCTAGAGGACAAAATAACCTTCATCAAAGACCATGAAGGCATTGACTTTTTAATATGACAATACCAATGTGTATCCTTAATTTCAATTATAAAAGATCTATCCAACTCGAATCACATTTTTTAATAAAAGCAATCAACAAAATTACAATTCCCTGCATTGATTGGTAATTGGTAGATTATTTCAATGTGCCATAAATAGACCTTGCAAAGAAAATGAGGTGAAATGAATCAAAAGATGCATTATGTATACAAAATCAAGAAAGCCCACTCATAATGAAAACAAAAAACTTGAATTTTCTATTTTCAAAAAATCTAAATTATTCAACTAAAACTAAAACAAACTAATAAAAAAAAAAAAAAAAAAAAAAAAAAAAAAAAAAAACTGCTACTAATAATAATGAAATTAATAAACTGAAAAATGTTTTTTTGCTTTTTCAAAACGACCCTTCCGCAAAAACAGGTCAACTTACTCTTTCCTATATTAGGGGTTTTTCTCGCCCCTGCATATTATCCAAAACAAAAAATACCCTCAAAATTTGGAAAATACCAATGGTCCATTTGGTTTGTTATTTTGGATAGGATTTGAGAATAAAATTGGTAGTTTGAATAAGGTAGTATTACGAGGTAAAATTTAAAATTTGACAAAAAACCCTATAGGTTTGCTTATTAACACAACCCCCATATATAAAATTTTGTAAAATGACAAAAACACCCCCACCCACCCGTAGTGCCAGATTCTGGCCACTACCGTCGGAATCTGGTCGAAAAATGGCGTTACGATGCAGACCGGTCGATCTAGCCGATTGTGCGTCGCTATGGCCTTTTTCGGCCAGATCCACCACAGATCTGGCGGGAAAAGGCTAGATCTACGACCATATCTGCCGTCGATGGCCGCAAAAGCCAATTTGGCCGTCAGCGAACAACCAAGATATGGTCATCATGTTCGGTCAACGACACCAAATCTGGCCTTTTCTGGCTAGATCCACTGTGGATTTGATTGGAAAAGGCTAGATTGGCGAATTACCAGCCAGTTCCGATCGTTCTACATCGTTTGACAGATCCGAAATCACTGACAGGGTGGGTGGGTGGGGGTGTTTTTGTTAATTTTTAAACTTTTTTTCTAGGGGTGTTTAATTAAATTAATACTTAGAGGAGTAAAAGGAATTAAAAAAATATAATAGTATTTCCCAAATATTAACAAACAAGTATTTTGGGAATATGATAGGGAATAGTATAAAATAAAACAAACGGACCCAAAATTCCCTATTGTTAGTGAACCATTACTTTAGTGTTTATAAATTTATAATACGATAAATACCGAACTTTACCTAATTAACCCTTCTTAATTTATTTTAACCCCAAAAATTAACCATATGAAATTTATGGTTTTGTTAAAATTTATACCTTAGGGAAATATTTTATTAACCCTATAATATATACAGTAGTTGGTATCACAGTGAAGGAGCGGGTAGTGCACCAGATCCCTCATTTTGTCTTTCACCATTTGGTCTCACCAAACTTCCAATTTTCTAATTTCCTATTATTACCAACAGTCTTATTAAAATAAGAAATATAATATTCAACAAACTACACATATTTTCCTCGCCTACCCATCAATTTGCCTTTTTTTGTTTTCATATCACCTTTTTGCTTTGGAAACATCACTCTAACCCAATAAATCTTACTTACTTCTGAGTTTCTCCAAAAAGTGTATAATGGACATGGATTTTTTGCAGTCTTTAGATGTTCAGCTCCTCGTGGTGGAGCTGTGGCTCTTCTCGCCATTCTTTTTGGTGCTCCTTCTTATTTTCCTCACAGAAGCCCAAGGTTTCACCTTTCTCTCCATTACTTGTTTTAATTGTTTAGGTTTTGATATTTTCAGTTATAATATGTTTTTGGTTGGTGGGTATTTTTTATTTGGTTAGTTTGTTAGTTGTGGATGAGTTTGTTAAAGTTATAGAAATGTCAATGCTTTCAGTGTACTGTACATTTGGATTTGCTTATGATTTCTATTTGAGGAGTGTTTGTGTTATAAATGTTTAATAAGCTTAACATCTTGCTTGTGCCTCAAAGTTTAATCATAATTTGAGATCATTCCTCTCTCTATTCATCTCTTATAGTTGTTTT